ATGCAAACCATCTATATTAGTAATTGCACATAAGCAATTATTTTAGCTGGGTATAAATTTGACAATCATGATGAGTTTTCAACATTTCCTCCATTGTTTGTCTAATATCACTATTGTTTCTTTCAGCTCACTTGGTCCCTAATGAAGCGTCCTTACTCTCTTCACTTTCCCACTACGACCATTTAGTATCAGTGTCTAACATTGACTTCACCCAATCAGAGCTCTCCTAGACATCACTGAAGACTAATGTACAGTAGAGACTTGAGATGCCCACATTCTCTCACTAGAGTAGTGTTTTTTTTTTTTTTTTAGGAATAAACTGCTGCCTTATTAACCAAGAAGGCTCTACATTTAATGCTTCCTGAGACTTCTTTGTTCTCTGTACCAAGCAAAGGCTAGACAGTTTGCAGGGATTTTAGTTCACAACAAACCACAGAGCCTGAGCATTCACATCAGATACAATAAGGCGGTCTGGAAAGTCAAGTATCGAAAAACTTAATGACTTATGACATGTCGTGTTCTTTAATGGATGTCTGGGGAAGTAAGGAGGACAACTAGAGAAAAACCAAATATTTCATAAATATGTTTTCAATTCAACTGAACTATGTAGTCTGAATTCTTAGCATTCATTATCTTGAATGTATCTCAACCATGAACGTTCCAAATAGTCTCCAATTTTTTCTTTAGTCTACTTCAGCGGGGAAATGAACATGTCAGATAACAGCCTCTTCACACTTAAGAAGTCAAAAACAAAAAAAAAATAAATTAACACATGTCTTTTGCAGCAACATGGATGGAGCTGGAAAAAATCATGCTTAGTGAGAAGTCAAAAACAAATACAACTGAAACCAAAGGAAAGACGTGTGCTAGTCTCAATAGGTCATAACCAGCATGAGCTCGGTGGCTCCCTTCTTCAATGCTGAATCCCCCAAACCCAGCCCAGTGATGAACTTTCTGTTAAAATAATAATCATAAATAGAAATATATATTGAGAGTATTATTATATAGCTTGGAGTACCAAGATTATAGCGATATACATAGACCGTGTCGTTTAAACAACAGAAACTTATTTCTCACAGTTCTGAAGGCTTCTAAGTCCAAGAACAAGAGGTGAGTTGTTCCATTCCTGTGAGGCCCTCTTCCTGGCTCACCAATCACTGTCCCCTTGCTGTGTCCATGGCAGAGAAAAGGCAAGCTCCTGGCCTCTTTATATAAAAACATTCATCCTATCAAATGAGGGCTTCTCTATGACCTCATTTAACTTTAACTACCTCCATATAGGTTTTTTTGCCAAATAGAGTCCAATTGGGAGTTAAGTCTTCAGCACAGGAATTTTAGGGGTACATCATCAGACATAGTATTCACTATGTTGTTCCAAATAGTAAACATCATCTAATTTAATCCCTACAACAACCTACAGTTTAAGAGTAAAACACAAGCTTAAGAATTTAAGAATATACCCATGTTATCACCTATTAAGCTACAGCATAGATGAACTTTGAAAATATTATATTAAGTGAAAGGAGCCAATTGCAGAAGGCCACAAGTTGGATAAATCCACTTATTTGAAATGCTAAAATAAGCAAATCCATAGATCCAGAAAACAGATGAGAGGGTGCGAGGGGCCTAGGGAGAAGCAGGGAGGGGGGGAATAAATGGAATGAGTAATACAGGTACAGGGTTTCTTTCTGGGGTAATAAAAATATTCCAGAATTAGATGGTGGTGACAACGGCATACCTCTGCGCATATATAACAGAAACCATTGGGTGTATATTTTAAAGTGGTGAATTCTATGGTATGTAAATTATACTTTAAACCATTACTTACAACAGTAATTAAGAAGACTGCCCAACAGCACACATACAGTTAGGAAACGGTAGTCCTGAGAATCAACAACAAGCCTTTTGGATTCTAACAGATCTGCTCTCAAGAATTACACCGTTCTTATTACAGTTATTCCCAATAAATATTTGCTGAAGACACCAGTAGTCCTTACCACACTCCGCTTCCTTCCCTCACTATGCTGATGGAGCAATCCACATTAAAAACAAAAAAAAAATCCATCATCAGGAAGAATGAACTAACGCACAATTCCTAATCAGAGTTGCTTATAGATTCTTTAATAAGACCTTGATAAGCCTCCTTATCCATGTCTCAGCAATTACCCAAAACTTTCATTTTCCTCAAGTTCCAGTCTCTAGAACAGATAAATACTGTTTCCAGAAGGATCTTTGGTGGCACAAACTACAGTTCCACCCCTTACCTGCAGATTGAATCTCTACTCAAAATACACTAATACCTTCATACAAGTATTGGAATGAAATGTCACTCCTGACTCAAAACCCAATTGTGGCCTTGTGCTCTCAAGCTTATTCCCTCTGTCTCCAACCTCTCGGGCTTATCAACTCCACCTCTCAACTATTAACTTGCTCTGTTATCCCACACTATGCCATGGCCCCCACGTTTCTAGCTACCACCCTAGCTTGCTTGCTTTCTAACCCAAACTCATCCCCATGGATGCTTACTCCCTCCAATCACCTCTTTTCATTTACTCCCAGTCCACTGTAAGCTAATTTCCACCACTAGTGTCTTACTGAAATTGCTGCCTTCAGACCACCAGGGATAACTTCATTAGCAAATCCAAAGGAGTATTTGTTCCTTGCTAGTTCCTTCTGCTGCATGTGATGCTGTGGATCACACCTCTCTGTTTTTGAAACTCTATTTAAACGTTCTCCCAATTCTCTACTCCCTTCCCTCATCATTTATTCGCTATCTCTTCAGGAACTTCTTCTCTCTTCAACTTCTAATGATATTCCTAGCTTACATTTTCTTTATCCTACCAACCACCCCTGGTCAATCTCATTCACAACCATGTTTGTCACTTAATATTTACATGGAAATAAATCTCAAACCTACCATCTCTGATTCTTCCCCACCTTTTCTGAGCTTCAGACTGATATATCCTGCTACTTCCTAGACATGGCTTCGTCTGTGTCTCAAACTCTGTTAAATCAAATATGTTCATTCTAATTTTTACATTCTCTTCTCTTCGCCATTTCACCTGTTGGTTCCCATTTCGGCTGGAATCCACATTTCACTCAGATATCCTGTTAAGGGACCCCACCCATTGGCCTCACGCCTCCCTGTTTGCCATCCCCATCTACCAAACCTTAATGATTTTTTTCCCTGAGGCATTCTTAGGAACATTCCTCCTGCATGCCTCTTAGCACTTCCTGAGAATAGAACTTCTGCTTACATCCCTTCTTCTGTTTTTACACTCTATGGAGTAATGGCCAAATACTTGTGCCTAACATACAAGATCCTCCAAAAAGTGAATTCCACATCCTCCTAATGCATCTCCCTCTGCCCCAACCTTGCAATTTACCGTGAAGTTCAACAAAAAATGCTGTGCTGTAAACTGCCCTGACTTCTTAGCACAGACTATCGACAGCCCTCCATTTTCTCTCACTCCTCTATCCTCAATACCTCCCTTCCTCTTGTGCTCCAAGACTTGGCTCAAACATCGCTTTTTCCAAGATGCCTTTTCACACGCCTGAAGAGCTGCTTTTCTCTGGCACTATGCCAGCACGCCATGCTTACTTACCCCAACACTATATATGAAGGTCCCCTTCTAAAACTATATATTAATCTATATAGCCTAGCTGACTGGACTAGCTCCTCAAGATAAGACTTGTTCATATGAGGTATTCAATGTGATTCCTTTGCATGTTAAACGTTAATGGTAAATAATTTTCTGATGTGCTTCCAGACATTTAACTACCTTGGCTCTCCCATATGACCATTTTTCAATCATTTCGTTGGAAATCTGTGCAATGCAGAGGTTGTTTTAATGTTCTAAACACATCACAGCTTGGAAGGGCAGTCTCCACTGTGGGAAGAGTTAAAGGCAGGAGACCTAAACAGACTAAATTTAGCCATAACCATACCTTGTTACTCGACATAGTCTAAGATTTGGCAAGGTACATCTCTTAGGTGGCGCACTGCTGACACGGCATGGGGGAAGGAACTCAACCAAATCTCAGCAGACTCCAAGAGGAAAACCTGCAATACCTTGAACACAGGAAATTCTGAGTTCTGCTGATTCATCCTGACTTAGTGCTGCAATAACACTTGAGTAAGGTGCACCCAAGCTGAGTCTGCATTTTTTTTCTGCAGAGCTCATAGAATTTGGTACACAGAAAATTGAATAGCTGTTCTTTACAATCGTTTGCAATTTCTCAGATATTGACTGTGGCCATTACATTATATAGGCTGGTAGCATTGTGAGGTATTTTTCTTGTAAAGATGCAGTCCTGGTCAAAATACTGATGAGAATATAAAATGAGGGAACTAGAAGTCCCTAAATTAAAGAAAACCATACCGAAAATATCTTTACCAAAAGTCTCACTGCTAGCTCTAATGGAGGCTGAAGATCCCTGCTTAAGTCAACAGCTCTTATTCATGTTTAATCCAAAGACAACGGGAATATCAGGAAATAGCATTTAACTATCAACATAACACATATCAACAAATAGCAACATAAACACACTCAGAAAAACCATGTCAATTTTTATGAGGACTAAAATTTCTAAGAAAATACATCAAAGCCAATTCTGAAGCAAAAAACCTTTATTTTGCAAATTTTATTTGCAAATCATCTATGTCTTTGTTCTTGATATAGAAAGGCATGTGAATTGTGAATTAAAGATTAAATGGGAGAAATTTCTAGACTGACATCTAATTTTACAAGAACCCTTAATTTATCATGCCCCTTACACATAGTAGTAATTAATTATAGCTAACATTTAATTAGCATTACTTGAAGAAAAAAGACACTAACTGTACAGGTTTTGGTATTTGTCTTTAAGTGCTATATGACACATATTTGGCTAGAAAATGTCAGTTGCTTCAACAACAGTCACTATTTTGACTAAACCAATATCAGAGAAGTAAAGATTTTTACACTTGCCCCTAAACAGATTTGTGACTAAATACTTACTTGTTCAGTGTGAGGTCAAGAATGAATTTGGAGCCAAAGGCTTCAATCTGGAAGCTTGCCTGGGCCAGATGGACAGCCTAGGAATTCAAAAAGACAGAAAGAGCCTTAGCTTACTTTCCTGTCTACAGAGGATTATAATATTATTATAATAATATTAAAAATGATATTTTGTAACAAATTTTTAATGGATTGATTCATTTTTTATGGATCATTATATAACATTTCATTTTTTTAGAGACACTAGGTACATGGTCATAGTTTTAGGAGCCAACAGAATATAACCGTACTTTAAAATAAACCCCTCATGGTAAAAATCCAAAGCATATTTAGCTGGATCCCCAAAGTGACCATGATGAATTATGCAAAAGCCTGGCTAATTAAAGCTTGATTTCAGCCTGTTTTGTGCACAACGCTATCCAATTCTTTCTGCACACCTAAGTGAAAAATCATGTCAAAGCTCTACTCTTCATCAGGAATTGGAACTTTCTGTAAGTGATGGATCAGCAGAATATGACATAAAGTGGGACAGCACAACCTTTTAACTTCAGAAATCTCTTAGAAGCAGGCCCTTCAAAAGTCACACATTTATAGATCCCATCATTATCATGCCTTAACTCAAAGACACAAAAATAATCTCATCTGAACAGACATCATATTTTACTAGGTGCTGATGCTAAAGATTAGTAGAGCTCACAGAAGTGACTTGAATAATGTAAATTAACAAATCAATGACATTTTGTCAAGGTACTATCCCAGAAAAAACTCGCCTTCATCATTTTATTAAAAAAAAAAAAAGCGACAGGATAAATTTAACACCTACACTCCCACCCCCTCCCCTGACTCACGACATTCTTCCCCCAGCTTCATTCCTAAGGCACAATGGATGTCACAAATCATCTGGAGGTGCTAGTGTACCACAACCACTTTCCACCTTTACCCCAAAACCAACCCATGCAACTCTGTTCCCCTCCCTCCATTTTTAGTTATTGAAACTTTACACGTCCTTTACACCTGGATCTCTAATACTATGGGATATCCTTCCAAACATCTAACAACCATGTATGACAGCTTTGTCGTACTTGATCTGGGCTTTCCACATGTTGACAACTACATGAAAGAGAAAAAAATTTCTCTCATCAAGTGTGGCCTCTCTCATCTGCTGCAGAACCTCCCTCTAATACAAATATCATATAGGTTTTCATCTAAGTTAATTTTGTGTCTTGAGACATTAATTTTTACATGAAGATTTTTATATTGATGAATAATGTATTTACAAGGAGAAACTTTTTCAGCTCTGGATCCTCAAACCTTTAAAAATAAATACACAAAATTTATTTCCTGAGAATAAGAGGTCCTTGGGCATATCTTCTCTTCAGAATATTAAATAGTAGAGGACAGTTAAGTAAATAGCATCCTAGACTAAGAGTTGATAAATGTACTTCCTTGATCAGCTTTATAACAATAAGAGCCTACCAGCCTCATTGCATGGCAAATAAACAATGAAACAAGTAGAAACCCAACAAAACCCAGTGTCTACCCTATTTTACAGAATTGTTATGAAATATACACCTTGATCACTGTAAATAAGTTTATACAATGGGACAAGTTTCAGTTTAGCACAATGTAATGAAAGAGCTAGCAAGTAACATTAATATTGGGATTTTCCCTTTTTTGTTTTATTTGTCATTCAATCATTCACACATGCAAATCCCACTCTGCATAAAGATGGTCCCCTTCCAGGACCCCTGAGGAGACAGAAATGTCTATGGAAGCAGGTACAGCTGCCAGCCTCTCTCTCTGTCTAAGGGGGTACCAGACCCAAGGCTTCACTGACAGAATATGATTTGAACAAAATTGCAAAAGATGGATGAGAAACCACAAGCTAGGAGAAGAAAAGACATTCAAGGTAGTGGAGGTAAACATTTACAGGAAGACAAAGTGAATGTAGGATAAAATCTTTTTTAAGATTGACTATGGGGAGGATTTCTTTGGTGGTGAAAGGGGTTAAAACGCAGCACTATACTGCTTTATTTACAATTGGAAAAACATGGAAGCAGCCCAAATGCCCAAAAGTAGATGACTGCATAAAAAAGATGTGGTACATATATACAATGGAATATTAGTCAGCAACCAAAAAAGAGAAACACATGTCTTTTGCAGCAACTTGGATGGAACTGGAAAAGATCATGCTTAGTGAGATAAAGCCAGAAAGAGAAAGAAAAATACCAAATGGTTTCACTCATAGCAGGAGTATAATGGACCAGGTGGAAAATAACAAAAATAATGACAACCATATACCAGAGACATTTTGTGGGGGTGGAGTGGGGAATGGGATCAAAAACGGGGTGGGGGGAGGGAAATGCACGGGATTATGGTGATGGCACACGGGTGACTTGGTGATGGGAAACCCACAGGGATTTTAACTGAGATGAAAAAAAAAATGTACAAAATGATATAAAAATACACTGTCATAAAATAAAAAGAAAAGAAAAAAAGAAGAAGACGATTGAATATGGTCTACAGGAAAATAATTTTCAGAGGAAATACTAAGCAATGGAGCAGAAAAGGTAGGCTGGATGGCCCTCCCTGGTGGCGCAGTGGGTTAAAGCACTGCACTGAGAATCTAAAGCCACTTCCACATGAGTTCGATTCCTGCCTGCCCCGGAGGTGACCACATGGTGCGGGGCAGACCTCTCCTGACCCGCCCACTGCTCCCCTCAGCAGTGTATTTTTTCAATCTGCCTGTTCTGCTCCCCTCTGTCTGTGGTGAATCCTCTCACCCTCTGCGCCTCTGGCCTGTACCCCACTTCTATATGAATAAATAAATCTTTAAAAAAAAAAAAAAAGGTAGGCTGGAGACTGGGGGCTTGGCGACGTGTGTGGTGCTGTATATACCACATGGAGCAAGCTTTCTGCTAGGTGCCCATCCCCCCATGCTGAGCACTGGCATACACCTTTATCATCAGCCTCATCATCATCATCACCAACATTATGATTCAAACATATTGACAGATTACTCTCCAGAGCTGCTGAAACAAACTCATTCCTGTTTTTACATAATAGAAAATCTACCTAATGCATTATCAACAAGAATGTTTTAAAACTTTATCATCATGCTAAGGGGAAGCACACTTCCTTTAAAATTGTACCAACTAGTCTTTGTAGATGTATCAAATTGAATTAGTATATTCATGTAACTTTAGCAATGATCTGTTATTTTTCTTATCCTCTGTTTCTCTTCCCACCACTACACACCCTGAATTTGTATATACAGTACAGAGTCTTCTCAGTATAGAAATAAATACCTGACAAGTGAACTTGTCCCTATCATCCTGTTATTTCTGTTCTGTCATAGACACAGTTAAAATAGCTTTTAACACTTGGAATTTCTGTGATTCCATATTTGGTTTATTATTTTTTCATTACCAAAATGCAGCTTTGATGATGGCCAATTTTATAGTTTCAAATGACATAGTGAATCCTGATCATTACTGCTACAAATTACGTTTTTTAATTTTATTTATTTTTTTACTTAATATTAGCCTACTTCTTCCAAATGGTAGAAAAATGAAAAGAAAGGCAGGAATGAGTACAAATTTTTAAGCTCCAGTCATAGCACCTCTGTATGGCTGATTATTAGTTAACCAGCTGGCCAGCATCCCTGCTACTCATGAAAAATATAGAGACTACCCAGGGTATTGCTCTTCTTTTTTGTGAAGAAGAAATTATTGCATGAGATGTAGAAATGTGTGTGGTAATTAAAAATCAGATCATAGAAATACTTCAGAAAAGAATTCATGAACTGCACACAAGGTCACAGCAGGTTATTTTCTTCTTCGGGATATTTGTGAAACAGACTTGATGATTAATACTTTTTTTTAATAGGGACAGTCACTCTAATAGCCCTGGGAAAGAATACAGGGTTTCATAGTCAAACAGCACATTTCACAAATGTGAGCACAACCCTGGGCTCAGAATTACCACCCTGGAGGCCTAGAACAGCTGTTGCCTAAAGCACTTTGGTATTTTTCTCTTGAATCAGAATCTGGCACAAGGAAATTACAGGAGCTCTATAAACAAAAACAACTAAACTCAATTATATACACAAACCTCCTTCACTGAAGAACAAGTTACACATCTTAACAATAAGCTTTTGTTGTTCTGTTGTTCCTTCTTAGTAGATGGCACCTAGTGGTATCATATTAAGTAACTTTAGAAGACTGTTAGGTTCCTCAGCTAAGATTTATTTTGCTTCTTATAAGGCAAATGTTATATTAGGCAATCAAACATACATAGCTTTCAATACATTTCTTAAGCAGAAGACACACAGGCTTTCTTAAGGCTCATAGCCTAAAATAATTAAAAATAATGTGGACATGAAAACAAGGGAAGGAAATGACTATTTACAGAAATCAAAGGAGGTATTTCCAGGGTCAATCTGTTTTTATGCAAAAATGCTTCCCACATAATGAGTATTCAATCAGTATGCTTTACTTAGAGAGGATCTATGCATACTAGACTAAGCTTAGTTTGTAATTCAACTGAACCTGGAAATGAAAACACCTTTACTAAAACTATCTTCTCTATTGGATAAAATCTGGGAAATGCTTCATAGTTCATGGCTGATGAGACGGTAGGTAATTATTTTCTTGGTTCCCTAATGGCTGTGATAATACCATCTTCATTAAAATGTCCCATATATATGTTGTCTGTATGTACAACTATAACCTTTCAAGAAGTATTTGTCTCTCCTTTTATCTTTTGCTTATGTCTCTCCCATTACCCTTAGTGGTTTTCTTTTTTTTTTAAAAAAAAAAAAAAAGATTTATTTATTTGTGCTTACAGAACTGGGGTATAGGCCAGAGGCTCAGGGGCAGCGAGAGGCTTCACCAAAGACAGAGTGGGGAGCAGAAGAGGCAGATCGACTAACTACACTGCTGAGGGGAGCAGTGGGCGGGCCAGGAGAGGTCTGCCACGCC